TTTTTTTTTTTTTTTTTTTTTATGGTTTGATGGTCAATTATTAGTTTGCCCTTTTTCCCTTTTCCATTCCAAAATTTCAAGCTCTCCTTTTTCAACCAAAAGGAGGCTTTTGTCTTTTTGAATTTTCTTAGTAGTTTCTTGTGTTCATACTTCTCGGTTTCTCTCTCCTTTCGGTACTCTTCTGAAGGCTTCAACGCGAGCAACCTCGACCACCAATATATCACTGTCTTCTTTTCAGTAAAGGCGTATGGTTTCCAAGTTTTCAACCTCGGTTTGGCTTAGCTCAGCTGAACCCATTTGATACTCATTTTTTTAACGACCCTAAATTTTCTACTTAATCTAAGGTCGCTAATGTACACATATCATAAACGCTTAATGCAGAATTAACTCTATTGATTCTTTATAGTAACAGCAACGTTTAAACGTGTATGTTTCATTTAAAATATTATCTATTTCTTTCCTTTTTTATTGTTAGTTCATTAGAATGAAAATGAAGTAACTTTTTTGTAACGCTTAAATGAATTAATTACTTCAATTAATACGGTCGATTAAAAAGTCAAATTTTAATATTAAATCTCGTTGGGATAGATTATTGAATTATAAAAAATTAATGGAAAATCTATGATTCAGTTAAAAAATTATTTATATTTTAAAAATATAATTGTTGTTGAGTTAAAAAATTGAGAGACAAATTTTTAGGTTAAATTAATAAAGAAAATCCTAAACTTTCAATAATATATATAAAAAAAATTAAAAGTTTGGATAATATTTTTTAATTTAAAAAAATATATAATTTTGAGGAAAACTTTATTATTTTGATTTTAAAATACTCTTAAACTTTTTTAAAATTTCATTAAAATATTTTTTACCTTTCATTATTCTAAATTAATTTTCAAAAATATTTTTTAGACAAAATATTTTATTTTTAAAGTTTAAGGATGTATTTTTTAACGGTATTTTTTAAACAAAATATTAATCATTTTCATTAAAAAATAGTTCAACTTTAATTTTTACCGTTTAAAAATATTTTAAAACTTTTTTTAAAAAGAAAAAAAAATTAAGGGTATTATTGATATTTTTTAATACAAGACAAAACATTTTTTTAAAAATTAAGAATATTCTTTAAATAAATTATTAATGATTAAGGGTTGAATTTTCTTTTACTAGGTTTTTTTAAAAAAAATTTAAGAACATTACTTATATTTCGAAATAAATTTTTTAAATGGAGTTGAAAATTTAGAGATATTTTTATTAATTTAACCAAAATTTTAATTAATTAATTATTTATTTTAGCTAGTCATCCAATTTAAAGTCTAAATTAACCCGAAATTAGTGATCGGGAGTGATTTTAGATTTATTGAAAAATAGAAATTAAATTTGAACGGTGACCAAAAATAGATTAAAACAAATAGTATTTAAACCATTTATTTACAAACTCCAAATTTCAAATTTGTTGCCTGTAATAGACGTTGCTGATTCCCGAAGGAAAGCGTCCGCCCGCAGCGGCGCCGACCACCGCACAACCCTGCATTCATTGCGGCGGAGCGTTGTAATTGTCGTACTGTATTGTTAATTAATGTGGCTTTGATTTCACTCACTTCCTCGACGACTGTTCATCAAAAGGCGTGAACACAATTGAGAACGTGTCTGTACCTTATAAGCCCACGATATCTGATTGCATCGCTCCAGACTTTTTAGTTCCAATAACTTTTGTGCGTTTCAATTGATTTACCTTATTCAGGCGAATTTCTTCACAGGCGGATCGAGTTTGATTATTGTGAGTATCGGATTCATTGTATTCGTTCATTGTTTGGCACCATTTCCTGAATACTTTGCTGGATCTCGGCTGTTTCATTCGTTGTTTCGTTTTACCATTTTTCTTGTTTAATTTCCTATCGGTCTGAGCTTGGTTGGATCTTAATCGCTTGATTGATGAAATGATATTTGTTTGTGATTCTTTTTGAGGATTTTCTTAAGTTTGAGATCTGTTTGATCTGTGATTTTGAGGATTGCAGATTAAGTATTTTGAGATTTGTCGGTTGTTGAAGTGTACCTGGAAATGGAGAATGGTGATCAGTTCACGCAGTTTTCTGATGCTAAATATGAATGTCTTCTCTTTGGTATTACATTTGGGGCTTTTAATGTTTTCCTTTTCAATTTCAAAGTTAAGAGTGAATAGTTTTTGATAGCAAAGAATTATGTGTTTACTTTCAGATCTAGATGACACCCTTTATCCTTTAAATTCTGGTTTGTCAAAGGAAGTCTCCAAGAACATTCAAGGTTGGTTTGAATTTCCTTTCTCCTTTCCCCTCTGGATTCAGGAACATTTGAGGCTGATAGAGTTTAGGACAGTGTGAATTGGCATGGGACAACGGAGTTTAGGTTATTTTTCTTGTTGTTTTATGGAATTGGATGAATTTTGTTTCTTTTTCTTGTAGAATTTATGATTGAAAAGTTAGGAATTGAGGAGAACGTGCCTGAATTGTGCATTTCCTTGTACAAGATTTATGGGACAACACTGGCTGGTCTTAGAGTAAGTTAAAACATCACGGCCTTTTGCTTGATCTTTCTTCATAATGATTTGATTCTGTGTCATTGTCGTTTTATCGTGATTGCAGGCTATCGGTTATGACTTCGACTACGATGATTTCCATAGGTATCTACCTTTTGATCTTCATTAGTGTGTATGTTTGAGAATTTTGAGTTATATTCATAATGTGTTCTGTTCTGCAGTTTTGCTCATGGAAGGTTGCCTTATGATAGGCTCAAGCCTGACCCTGTATTAAGGAACCTTCTTCATAGCTTACCGATTCGAAAACTTGTAAGTAGCTTTATTGACATTCGTTACATGATTCGATGTCTTCTCGTGTTTCACCAAGTGATTTGATTGTTACGCTTTCTTTTCGGGTTTCTGTCTCACTTGTGAGCTCAGCTATTCACCAATGGTGATATGGCTCATGCAACTAGAGCGCTGCAGAGACTTGGGTTAGAGGACTGCTTTGAAGGGATTTTATGCTTTGAGACTTTGAATCCTAGTAAGGAAACAGTTGTTGATGAGGCAGCAGGGTCTGTAGTTTTTGATATAGATCAGTTTATGAGCAGTCTAAACTCTGATATTGATCTGCCGAAGACACCAATCATCTGCAAACCATTTGAAGAGGCATATAAGCAAGTTTTCGAGATCGCCAATATCAACCCGCAAAAAACTGTAAGTGAAGAACAGATTAGAATTAACTTTAAATGAGCTTTTCCAACACTTTGTGTTGCGGCCCAAGCCCAAGCCCACCTACAGATAGTCCACTTTTTGTTGACTTTTTTCTTCTCTCAAAGTGTAACGATCGGGGAATGAAGCACCCCTTATAATGTCGAACATGGGTTGGAGAGTCGGGTTCATCTGATATGATATCAGGGTTCCAAAAGAAAAGGAGTCGAACCTCGATTAAGGGTTCACATCAGCTAATTTAGGGATGGATCATGGGTTTATAATCAAAGAATAATATCTTCATTGGCATGAGGCTTTTGGGGAAGCCCAAATCAAAGCCATAAAAGCTTAGGTTCAAAATGGACAATATTATACCATTGCCTTTATGAAAAATGTTTCGCCACACCTTTATCAAAAACATTGCTCCCTGACCCTTTTAACGAATTTTTCATTCTCCTCTCTAACCGATGTGGGATTGTAACGACCCAGACCCACCGCTCGCATATGGGTTTTCTTTTTTGGATTTTTCTTGTTTTTAAAACGTGTCTACTTGGGAGAGTTTTCCACGCCCTAATGTTTAGTTCTCTACAAAGGCCAAGCCCATTGCTACCGCACTGCTAGCCGAGCAATTTTCAAAGCTTGCTACCTTACCATCAAGAACATTGCTTGATTGTTCAATAGTTGGCCTGATCTGTTATTTTCTTTTCACAATACTACATTCTTCCTACTGTCTTGTCTGCAGTTGTTCTTCGACGATAGCGTTCGTAATCTACAAGCCGGGAAGTCGGTGGGCCTTCATACAGTACTGGTAAGTGCAAATACGCCATTTCTTGTTCTTCAAAGCTTGTTGAACGGTTAAACATTCTGACCTTATCATGAATTTAGATTGGTAGTTCACAACAAATAAACGGGGTGGATCACGCGTTCGAGAACATCCATAACATCAGGGAAGGATTGCCCGAGCTTTGGGACACCATGGAGAAGCTCGAAAACGTTTCGTACTCCGAAAAGGTAGCTATTGAGACTTCAGTTAGAGCTTAATTAGTACTTATGATATCAAGTTGTACGTACTATGATGACAATACTTGATAGTGCAAAGCCGTTGGCAACTGCAATGAATGCTGGTTAATAGAACACATCTTTCCTTTTGGATTCCTGTTGATCATACTTCTTTTTGCTTTTATCATAACCTAAACTAGCATAGTTGATGAAAGACGTTATCCAAACAAGAAGAAAAAAAGGCGTGCGGTCGCACTACGGTCGTCCATATACGCTTGTTGATGTCTTCAATACAAAACCATATTAATCTCCGGTAGCTCGGATAATCGTTGGATATACATTCGAACAATCGGCATGCTTCGTAATCGTTGCAGACATGTAGAGTGAGAAATGGATAGGCAAATTTATATACAAAATTCCAACAATAATCAAGCTACATAATAATACATAACTAGCATACAACTTCAAAAAGGAATGATCCAAAATCTTGCAAAGCTTGGCCTCTTAGGCGACTACCCAACACGATAACGCATAGATGATCCGACCCTTCCACCCTTGCAACATCCACGACCCGTCCTGATCGATCACGAAGTCTTGGTGGTATTCTGTGTTCACTATCTTCTCCACATTCTTCAGCAGATCCTGGTCTAATGGTACTTGCTTGAACCCGGCCCTCGTATTCCTTACTTGCCATTGCTTGTATGTCTCTGGCCTTTCAACTCTCTCGAGCCCCTCGCACGCTATCACGTTCACGATGTCTCTTCCTAGGATTTCCTTCTCACATAGATGCCTCTCTGGGATATCTCGAGGCATTGTCGCTTCGTACATGTCGAACAACGACGAGTAATGAAACAATGCCTCCTTAAACCTTGTGTTGAAGAAAGGAGTGTTGAATGAGCCATTCATCACTTCATGAATGAACAGATCTGGGTTGATTTTCCTTATCAACTTCAGAACCCTGTCTCGTGGACTGTTCGCAACCACGGTTTCGTCGGGTACGTTCTTAAGTCGGAACAAACAAGTTACAATAGTCAGTTCGTCTCGATTGACATTAAGATCCTCGTATTTAACCGTTTCCCATTTCTGAGCCAAGACCTTGTATTCAAATGGCACATTGAATCTCTTACAGTAATGTGCAAGGCGACGACCAGTCTGCTCAACCCGTTCAGCAGGGCGAAACCCCGGCTGGGGAAGCTCGATCCCGGTGATTCGAACCTTGGGAGGTCCACCAGGTCGACGAGAGAGCCGCTGAATCAAACAAGGCCATTGGAGACCATACAGAATACCAAAATCAATGATATGCAGCGTTGTTTCTTTCTCAGCTAGCTTCATAATCGTTCGATTCGCATAGAAATACGACATACGCCGAAACGGGCACGCCTTAATGAACATCTGAAACGCTTTCAGGATCTCAGCAGCCGAGGTTTCATTACTTGCAAATGGCATATACAGAGGCGTCCCAGCCGCAAGGCGAGTCTCGAGACCGTTAGCGAAGTAATGAGCTAATCTCTGATTTCCATCCCCAGATGGACTAGAATGCTGCCTGATCTGATTCAACAGCTCATTAGCAGTTCTTTGATCATAATTCGAAATAGCTTGAGCACATTGTGTTAACAATGTCCACAAATCCACAACTCCCACACTATTATCTTGCTTCTTAGATCGAGTTTTCTTCCCTTTCCTTCTCCGCCCTCTCGAGTTCTTCTTATTCACTTCGGTCTCCGACGATTCATCCGAACCGCACGGCGACTGCCGACTCTCGCCCCGACACAACAGAACCTCATCAAACAAATCAGACAGTGAATTATCATCAGCAAAAGTAGCTGACTGCTTACTACTTCTCAGCTCCCCATCACTCTCCTCCTCCCTCTGTCGGTTTTTCTTGTCTCTCAACGACCCACTAATCCTAGAAACATCAACATCCTTAAAAGGAACAGACACACACAAATCATTATCCAAATCAATTGTCCCAAATGTTCCATTAACAGGAAGAAACTTACTAGCTTCCTCAACTCCTTGCCTAAAATGCCCAATATATTGCATCCCAACAAACGAATCATGACCCACAACACAATTTTCAGACAATCCAAGAACAGAGGAGTTACCCGAGCTGAAATCCTGAGCTGAATCGCCATTTCCTGTCGGAGAAGGAGGATATTTCTGGCCAAGAACATCGTAAAAAGACTTCTCAGCAGCTTGAAGAGCCAAGCAATCAAGAAGCATACAGGGCTTTGTTTTAAGATCCTCTCCTTCATCCATCAGCATCTCGGTGATGTATTTCAGCATCGTATTCGAGGTGTCTTGGCTGTCCGGCGAGTCTCCCTCGGAGCTCGACGGCGACATCGACGACGACGATGATGAATTATTACTGATTTGCTGCTGATTTTGCTGCGGCTTCGCCGGAATCTGGAGGGGATCGACGGTTTCGCGGTTGATTTTGAGAAACCCATTAGAGAGTTGGGGATTGAAGTGAAAATTGTTGAAGGAATTGGGGAAATCGTCGAGGATATTATCCATAAAATTAAAAGGGTCAGAAGATTAAGATGAGAAATGAAAGACCCAGAAAAAATTAGAAGCAAATCTGAAGAGAAATGGGTGAAAAATTGGAAATATGAACACGGATTGGGAGTTTGTAGGGTATTTAAGAGTCAGTGGCCAAGTGTCGAGCCATTTCTGACGGCGACGATGGTTCCAGGAAGCCTCAATTTTTTTTTTTTTTTTTTTTTTTTATCTAGAACCAAAAGAAAAAAAATTGAGAATATTATTTATTTGGTTCTTGATCCCCAAGTTATCTTGACCACCTCAGAAAGGAAAGAAAATTATATATATATATATATATATATATATATATATATATATATAT